GGGGGGGCCCCCCCCCCCCCCGCCGAGCCGTGGAAGGACGACAGTCGGGGGGTGAAGAAGATTGGCTAGCCAAGGCCCTTAATCCAACCTAAATCCGCCCGTAATCCGATTTCCCGAGCGAGCCCGAGAGTCCTGCGACGAGCAAGGACAACCGCTGCAGCACGACAACCCAGTTCCTTCCGTCAGGAAGACAAATTATGACAAATTATTACTCTTATTTATCATGTATTATTAGAAATTAATTATTTCATCAGTATACTATTTTAAAATCATTTTATCATCATTTTATTTTAAAAAAACTTTATATTATTATGAAACCAAATATCTTACCATTACTTTATTTATAAAAATGTAATTATTTAACTATCTATTATTATGAATCGTATCAAGATCGCATCGAGCAGCTGGGCGCGTCGCCGCTGCAGTCCCTGATGCGGGAGCTGGGGGGCTGGCCCGCGGCGAGCGGGGCCTGGGACGAGGAGGGCTTCGACTGGCTCCAGCTCCTCATCCGCCTCAGGGGGCTCAACAACATGGTCCTCATCAGGTCCTATCTCGGGATCGATCCGGGGAATCACTCCGACTATACCTTTTTCGTACGTCTTGTCCAATTTTTAAATTTGTTGGGGGGGTTCACGATTGAGATGGGATAATTACAGATTTTTTCACGGTGAACTCGAGTGTTTGATCGATCGAAATAAATAACGTAAATAAATAAAAATAAATGACATAAATGCGCATAAAAAAAGTATTATATGTATTTGCTTCGAAGTATATATATTTAAAAAATGTATCGAAAGTGAAACTTTTCCACATTGGAAGAGATTCGTTAAAATTCATTGATTCCCTCCTTGGTTCTGCTAAAAAAAAAATTGCAGGTCGACGAGCCAACGCTGGTGATGCCGACTCGCGACTATTACCTGGAGAAGGAGTTCGCCCACGTGCGGGACGCGTACCTGGAGATGGCCGTGAACCTTACCGTGCTCGTCGGGGGCTCAATGGAGAGGGCGAGCGTGCATGCACGGGAGATGCTCCGCTTTGAGACGAGGCTCGCTGAGGTGAGATGGGGGTGCAGGAGGGGGGATGGGGGGCAGGAGGGGCGGGTGGCTTTGTTCTTTTAAAATTTTGATGTAAAAATATATTTATGAAATTTAAAATTAAAAAAAATAATAATAAAAAAACAAAAATATAAAAGCATGAAAACACTTTTACCAGCTGCTGACGCCGGCGGAAGAGAAGCGCGACTACCGCGAACTCTACGCGAAGATGACGACGGCGGAGCTGCGCGAGAACGTGACGTCCGAGATCGACTGGCTCCGTTACTTCCGGGAGATCTCGGATGGCCGCTTCAACGAGTCGGACTCGATCGTCATCTACTCGCCGGCGTATTTTCAGAGGCTGGTCCATCTGCTCCGGGAAACGCCGTCCTGGTTTGTCGCTTCTCGATGTTGTCTACTGTACGAGGTAGACGGTCGTGACCGGCTGACGCTGATTCTAACCATGTTCTAGAGAAGTTAGAAATCTGAAACTTGGTACATCTGTACTTTTTGGGATGCAGAGTTAAAAAAAAATCAGACTTTGGAGGTACCTGCCCTGGGGGCACCCAATTTGGGGGAAAGGATATGTTTTCAAAGAGATATATTTGCTTCAGCTAAACGGAGAGACATGGAAAGCTGAAACTTGGCACAAACATGCCCATTGAGACACTGAATTCAGAAAAAAATGTAAAATTTCACATGCATGCTCTGGGGGTAGATTTTTTGGGGTTGACGTTTTCAAGTAATTTTTTTCGTCCTAGCGAATCGAACAGAAATAGAAAGGTCAAACCTGGTACATAAGTACCTATTGGGGTGCTAAGTTCAGAAAATTTCAGACTTTGAAGGTAAATGCCCTCAGGGCACACATTTCAGAGGGAGATGTTTTCAAATAATTTTTTTGCTTCAGTCAAACGGATAAACATGGAGAGCTTAAACTCTGCATGAACTATTGAACCAAGGAGATCAGGAAAAATGTCAAGTTTTCGATAAATCCCCCGGGGGCATATTTCCTTCGGGTGACGTTTTAAAATAGTGTCTTTCGTCCTAGCAAATTGGACGGAAAGAGAAAGGTGAAACTTTGCTCATACATAACTGGGGCGATATTGAATTCAGAACAATTCAACTTTTGCGGTGCATACCCTTAGGGCAGAGCTTTTGGCTGGGTCGGCTTTTCCAGATATATTTTTGCTCCAACGAAAAGAGGAAACGGATAAGGTTGAAAATTGGTAAGCGCGTAGTGCCTAGTACTAGTACATTTCCGAGTACTAATTTCAGCAAAAATATGAATTCGTAGGTAAAACCCTTGAGGGCACTTTTTCTTTGCAAAAGGCGAATTTTCCCCGAATCCTTTTTTGATCCGATGAAAGAGAAAACTGGAATGAGTTCAAACCTGGAGCAGAAGTCAATTCCTGAGTGCAAATCCAACTTTTCAAATATGTCCCCTCAGGGCAGATTATAAAGAGATTTGAAGTTAGGCACACAAGAAACAATCGGAGTAATTATTTCGAGAAAAAATATCGGTTCTCCCCCTCATGGCACATATTCCGACAGGCACATAGCTACTTGTCATACGTTTTTGCCGCCTCAAAAATGAATTAATGAATCACTAGCCAGGACAATGAGCACCGAAGGCGCGACCATAGCGAGTTTGACCCAAATTCGCTAGTATACAGTAATATATATGTCTAAGAGCAAGAAAACATTCTGCCGAGAGAGCAGCCTAAATAAATTATCTGCCACTCCCATAGGTACTAGAAGGAAAAGACAGATACTTCGATCAGTCTGTCGCTATTTTTATCTGGCATTCCCATAGGGTACTATGGGGAAATGCCACATATTGTGGCGGTCGGTTTATCACTTTTTTCCTTCTTTTTTTTTCTATTCCCGTCTGTCCGTGGCAACCATAGCGGCAGGACAACACGAGCCAATGCGCACGCGCATCTTTCCGCCTGGGTCGGGGTGCCAGTCTACGACTGAGACATCCACTTCCCTTCCAGCCCTCGCGAATGACGGATCCATGGTAGACAATGGGATAGCGCGGCTGCTCGCAGTCGCGTAGACAGGGTTGCTAGGTGAACGCGTGAAACGCCGCATCTGACATCCTACACTTCCCCGCTCTCCTCCCATCTCCACGCGACACGGACGAGCGGACCATCAAGGAAATTGTCTAGTTGTCCGGGCCTTTTCATATAGGCCCATGACGTACCAATGTCAACTATTATTTATTTCATTTATTTTAAAATTGGAAGGTTAGGATACGGCGAAGAAGATAATTCCTGTGGTATAGGGACCAGTGAAATGGCAGATCTGTACCTGGCCTAGCGCTCTACACTGTAAAAAAAATAATGGTTCTCCCTGCAACTCTTTACTGGTTCTGCAGTGAAACTTTCTTGGAACCATTTAATGGCGCCATAGAGAACCACCTATGAAGGTTACATGTAGCACCTTTACCAAAGGTGTCACTTAAAACCCTTTCGTGAATAACATGGTTCCACACAGAACCATCACCATTTGGCAAAACAACGTTGTGTCAACTTTAAGCAAAGGTTCATTTCTCAACGTTTGGGCATTACAGTACCTCCTCCACTTCTTGAGTCTGAACTCTATATCTGGGTACTCTATTAAGTACTGTCATCCCACAGAGCGTTCCTTCCAAAGGACCGATCTCAGGGATTTAATAGTACTCTATTGAGTACTAATGTCTCCGGAGGGGTCCCGCTGAGGTTGCATTTCCTTCACGGGATCAGAATAAGAGCTGAGAGCACAACTCTTACTGTCCAGCAAAGATATTACACGTCTAGGAACATCCCCACTTTGATTTCATTCATAGAAGAGCCTGGCATATCCCTGCATTCAGTTTTCATGCTCCATCTCTTAGGAAAATTGAGCATGTCTCTTCGGACACCCTGGTCAGTAGTATTTGGAGTCTCCTTCTACCGGGTTACCTCCTTGAACGAGTCTTTCTAGGAATTCCAAAGCCTTTCCTTTAGTTGTACATAGGAAAAGATCGGGTATTGTGTTGAAAAATACAGGGGATTCATTCCTATGGCAGTAGGGTGAGAATCGCTAAGTCGGCGCTTAGGCGCCACCTGGCGCCGATTGGTGAAACCTATTTTAAAAAAGAAAGGGAGTGTGGAGGAGGAGGGAGGGAGTTCTGAGTGTATGGCGAAAAAATATCTACATATCAAGCCCTGAAGGGATCCTTTTCCGAACCATTTTGAGAAAGCGCATCCGAAATGGTTGTA